CAGGGAAACTGCATCTGTGAAATCGAAACACTATGGCTGCCTAAACAAAACCTGCATAATGACAAGCCGATGTGGATGGTGGGAATACCATAAAACCCTACAAGCAATCAGTGACTGCTGAGAGAGAGAAAATCAACTTTCCCCCGGGACAAGCTCTCTGGTAGGTTATCAGATCCCAAGTAGTTACTCCTAAATACATGTACATAAGAGCAACACTACACAAACTCATTTTGATACTATATTTCAATTACATTTTATTTTATGATAATAACAATATTTTTCAGTTTTAGATATATCTATATAATTTTTAAGTTATATAGCTACTACTTATTGTAATTTTCCTGTAATTTTTTATGACTTCATTTTATGGACAGAATTAAATTAACTACATATAAATAATAATGAGAACATAAATATGTTGCATAATTTTGAAATTAAAAATTAAAAAAAATGTAACATTCACCTGGTTTTACTTTCTTTTAAATTCTGAGTTCCAAAATGAAAACGTACTTCAACCTACATATTAAAAAAAAGACTGTAAACTCACACACACTTTTTCCCCACTGTGTTTAAAATAAATAAATAAAGTTAGTTTCTCTTTTTCCTAGCTCTCTTAGAAGTGACAAGAGAAATTCCTGCAGCCTCATAGATTAAGTGTGAGACTAGGAATTAAGACTGCCTACAAATGTATAAATCCTATTTATGCCCAGAAATTCCCATCCTGAAAGATAAGGATGTAAGTCAGTAAAGGACTTCATTGTGTACACCAGCAACTCACCAGCTCATTTATCCCAACAAAAGACGACTCAAACAGTCACTGCTTCACAATTTCCTTCCAACTGGGCAAACAACTTACTTATCAGCAACTGTAAACATTGATTCCAACTTACTGTATGATATTCCAACCCTAAAGTGTGGTATGAACTTTGCAGTCTCCAGCAGGTCACTGCAAAGTCAAAAGAGCCCATTCCAGATAGTTATTTCCAATGGCCTCTATGAAGATGGCTTCAAGGCTGTGCTCTTCCTTACACGTTAGTTAGTGGGCAGGAAACCTACTGCAGGTTTCTTGGGTATCAGGTACTCAGGGAATTCTGAAGGAAGTCAAGATTCAACACATTCCATTTCAGCCCTTCTCTAACCAGATGCTCCCCTTTAAATCTTTGTCTCTGTCTAGACCAGCCCATGAGTAAAAATCAATATGTCAGAGTAAGGGATCATTACAAAAAAAAAAAAAATGACAGGGCAACAAAAGTTTGACATAAGACTTCAAATTTCAAATTTCATTATTACCACAGAGAATTGGACTAATCACAAATTTCAAAACAATCACAAAGTATCACTGTAATGCAAGTTTAGAAATAAAAGAAAAAAATTATTTAAAAAACCTTAAAATGCCAAAATTCATGCTGGCATCTGAGAAGATTTTATACTTTATTTGCATAATTAATTTTATATCCTAATGTTTTCAAGCTTGAAAAGTAGATGGGACTGTGGCACAATAGCAATGCCCTTGTCTAGTTTAAGCAAAGCCCTGGGTTGTATTTCTAGTACCAAAGAGGAAAAAAAGATGAGTTTTAAAGAATAGCTCTAACCAAAATTATTTAAATGTATATAAGTAAAAAATTATATATATATGTGCAATAAAGTTTAGCATTTTGACATCATCATTAACATGTATTTTTATTAGATCTCACTTATATTTACCTATGTGGTTTAAGTTATATAGCTAGTATTTATTCTAAAGCTATTATTTATCTTCATCTTGCTTTATTTTACATTAGTATCACATTTGTTTCTTCATAAAAAAATTTAAGCAGGAGATGAGAATTTAGCTCAATGATAGAATGTTTGACAAGCAAGTGCAAAACCCTGGATTTAGTCTCAGATTAAATCAGACAGACATCTAACTGAATAAAACATATTAAGATGCTGAAGTTGAGCAATTTAAGTTAAAATTTTCTTCCTCACATTCAAACAGGTGTTATGTTTATACATGTATGTGCAAATGTAAAATCTATGAAAAATTTTGCATAGCATTTATAAATATATACCTACCACTCCAAGGTAGAAAATTCTTATATGTACATCATACATATACAGGCGGTCTTGGGAATGTATATGTATTATATTACATATATGTGTGTATGTATATTCACATTTGCATATATGTATACACATATATGCCTGGGCAGGAAAAGTAAGTGCAGCCTTAACCAGCAATTTATAGGGAGCACATAAATATAGTAATGAATTTAGTTTGAAGGCTAGAGAGATGGCTCAGAGGGTAAGAGCACAGGCTGCTTTCCCAAAAGTCCTGAGCTCAATTCCCAGCAACCGCATAGTGGCTCCCAACCATCTATAATGAGATCTGGCGCCCTCTTCTGGCCTGCAGGTATACATGCAGACAGGACACTATACATAATAAATACATACATCTATAAGAAATAAATTGGATTTGAGACTTTAGACTGTACTTCATTATTTCCACAGAGGTTGTTGGCTATCTACACTGCCATCATTTCCTGTGAAAATTTACCGACCATGTGATGTTTGTGTTTTTGTTGATGTTTTTTTGTTGTCCCTTAGAAGCCTGTTCTTTTCTAATGAGAGAAAGGTAGATTCTGATAGGAAGGGAATGGGGAGCCACTGGAAGGAGTCAAGGGAGGGGAAACTATAATCAGGATATATTGTATGAGAAAAAAATGTATTTTCAATAAAAGTATTTTCTCATTTCAATAATGAGAACATGAAAATTAGAAAACACAGGGTTTTCATAGTAGCGCATGCCTCTTAGGCCAGCACTCTCAGGAGACAGGAGGATCAGGAGTTGAAGGTCATCCTGAGCTACAGAGTGAGTTTCAGGACAGCCTGGGTGAAATGGGACCCTGTCTTAAACAAACACAACCAGAACAGAACAGTTTGGATCCTGGGCTTCCTGTTCTACATTAAGGAAAACAATCTCAATCTCTTGGGACTCCAGCTAGCTAACCTGGAAAAGAATGACAACTCTACCTACATGGCATCCTCGCCCTGCCCATTCAAAGAGATGATGTCTAAGGTTTTGACCAGTCTGCTATCTGGGGAAGTGGTAACTAACATATGTGTTTATTACCCATCGTGCATGGAAATGCCCCACAATTGTGTTCCCAAAGACCAGTATGATAATAAAGCACTTTCTAAATCATTAAAGATGCATTAATTATGCATAAGATCTGTAAGGTTCATATCCTCTCAACCAATAATACGACTTCTAAAAACATAGCCAGAGGAAATGATTAGAAATACCATCAAAGATTTATGTAAAAAGATATTCTTCAAAAATCTTTATTTTTCCCTTTTATTGAAAATACATTTTTTCTCATACAATATATCCTGATTATAGTTTCCCCTCCCTTGACTCCTTCCAGTGGCTCCCCATTCCCTTTCTATCAGAATCCACCTTTCTCTCATTAGAAAAGAACAGGCTTCTAAGGGACAACAACAAAAAAAATAACAAAATAGTAGATATCACAAAAACCATCACATTGAAGTTAGACAAGGTTAACCAACAGAAGACAAGGAGCACAAGAGAAGGCGCAAGTGATTCTTAATAAAAAACTAGATACAATCCAAGTATCCAAATACCGTACATAGGACTGTTATGGAATATTCCATCAATAATTAAAATATTCATGAAGCCTCAAAAAAAGACCTAAATGCCCACAAAATTGAAATTACAGCAACAGAATATAAACACACACCTCAGCTACATAATGCTCATATATATGCATCAGATGAGTATACACACACAAATGCAGAAAAAAAAACACATCAAAATATTAACAATGAGAAGTCTGGTATTAGGAAGCAGTTTTCATTTTTTTGCAACAAGATCTTGCTATATAGTCCAGGTTGGTCTGAAACTCACTATGTAGCTCAGGATGACTTAAATAACATGATTGTCCTGCCTCAGACTTCTTAGTGCTAGAATTACAAGTGTGTACCACCATGCCTGGTCTGGGCAAATTTTCATTGTCTCATATACAAATATGTATATGCAATTTCCAAGTTTTTGTATTGTATGTATGCTTAAACTACATAAAGACTACACTCAATTCTGCATATTACTCAGTATATTCTTGTCTTCAAGGACTATCTTTTAAATTTAACATCTCATTTCTAAAACAACTTGGAGTGACTGACAGAGATGCCCACAACAGATTCAAACACATGAGGAAACAGACAGAAACAAGAAATGAACTTGTATACTCACAGTGTACACAAGCATGTACGTGTGTGTGTGTGTGTGTGTGTGTGTGACACAGACACATGTAAATATGGATATTCATGTCCATTAAAGAACTGTTTCAGATATAGAGAACTGAAGGGAACATCCTCAACTTTTTCAGGAAACATGTGCTCTGGGTGTAATAAAGACTTTAATTTTTTAATATTCATTTCATGTGTATGAGTTTTGCCTGCATGTAGGTATGTGCAACACACACATGTCTGGTGTCCTCAAGGTCAGAAGGGAGCATCAGATCCCCTAGAACAGGAGTTGTGGATGATTGTGAGCCACCATGTGGGTGCTGGGAACTGAACCTGGTCCTTTGCAAGAACAACAATTGCACTTAACCACTGAGCCATTTCTCCAGCCCTATAAACCACGCTTCATATATGCACTTTGAGTGCTATTTAAGTGAAGAGAGGGAACCCATTATATAGTTGGAAAGACAGAAGGAAGGTTAGACGGCAAGGAAGCAAGATCTGTTCAAAACATGGATGAGTTTGGCCATGATCAACAGCCAAAGGAGCAGTTACTAAGAATGCACAAATTCCAAAATGAAGACAGAAATCTAGACACATTTATCTTTAAATGTTGCCTTGATTCATGGACTTTCAAAGAAAAGAATCTGAAATATTAACATGTACTTAATTTCATCATGCAAACACAGCAAGAAAACAAACATTAACAAAATAAGCTGTTCTAATTAATAAAGCATCTACAACATGGCACTTACCTTCACTGATGGCATGGGGCTTCACAATGCAACAGGTACAGTTGGTAAATTTAGCAGTGTTTGCTGGTCCACAGCCTCCACTTGAAGGAAAAAATAATTCCATTTCCTGTAGATACAGAAAGATGAGAAAAGATGATCTCTTATCTGAAACTTCCAGAATATTTCCGAAGATATACAATTACTTTTAAAGTTTCATGATATAAATTCTATGCTTCTGATTTTCTAAATGTGAATTTGCAGACTGAGTAACTTAGCTCCATTTCAGCACTTAACAATCAGAACATGCAGAGTATTGTAGCAATGTGAAGACATCATTGTGTGACCTCTATTATAACTGACAGGTTTCAACAAATTCTGAGAACTGGGAAAAATATATAGTTCTTACTTTCCCAAAAGTATAGTTCATAAATACAGATTAATTTTAAACTTAAAAAATAAAATATAAAAAGTTAAAACAAGGACATCCTTATAAAAACAGAAAAATTAATGTTTAGGAGTCTGAGAACCACAGCTAATTAACAATAGTTCTATTATAAATCAAAATGAGCAACGTATTTTGGCCTGATTCACACAGTGGCTATTGCTTTGCCTACAGCTCATTAAATCAAGAAGTTAGCTAGCAATCTGAATGAACCAAAGATGTTCATACTAATCAATTCTTTTAGTTACTTAAATGCTGTCCCTGAGCTTTCAGCACTATTCTTTCCACTATATTCTCCATAAAAATCTCTGTTCCATGCTCCAAAACATCTGCCAGTGAGCACAGAACTATCTAACTATCCTCTAGAAAGATTTTCCACGCTCCCAATCAGCGCCATGCATTCATCACAGCTGTGACTTGTCAGCAACCAAATTATAAATTTGAAGAAAAGAACCAACTTGCAGAGCTTAGTAGCTTCCAAAACACCTAAAACAAAACCTGCCTCAGAGTTAGTATTTTCTTTTCCCTGAATTTATAATTGAAAGAGCAAGTCTACCGTTTGGGAAGCAGAGGCAGGAGGCTCACTGCTAGTACAAGTCCGCCGGGCCTATACAGTGAGTTCCAGGTCAATATGGCTACATGGTGAGACCCTGACTCAAATTTACAATAAAATAAATCAAAGCTATACTAATGAACTTTCATACTCTATAGTGTACATTAAATTATATAGAATAATAGGCTTCATGGGATATTTTCATAGAGGTCCAACACACCCTGTGATGCTTTCTAGTTCCTTATTAACTCCTTACTCTTTTATCTTCTCCGCCCTCTTCTCTAACGGCCTCCCTTCTATTCTGATGTGCAAATATTTCTTTAAACCAGAAGCAAGAGGGAGGAGGAGAACTTACTCAAATACTGTATATTTCAGTGAGTCTGTTGGCAGGACATTATAAAAGAATAATTAACTTTTATTACTAATAGTAATTAACTATTACTATTGACTATTAACCTGCTTTTTGTCACTATAAGCCGATCTTTATAATTTTATATAAATTCATCCATTATTTTTTCTATCTTCTTTCACTCAAAAAATATTTTGAGATTCACTCCCTGTAATCAATCCTTCCTTCCTTTTTACAATAATATGCCATGTGTGACTACAGCATGGCTTGTTCATTTTGTTCATCTACTGGACATTTGTGATATCTCTAGTTTGGGCTATTACAAATAAGCTGTTACAAACACTCAAATTCAATCTTCTATTGAAGCCGCTCACAGGATAATTCTCACTATTATTTTGTTGTTGTTGTTAAGACCTAGATTTCATTCTTTCTTTTAAAGAAAGAAACTTTTTTGCTTTGAAATTTTTTATCAATCTGTCTGGCTGTCTATTTGTACATGCATGGCCAGAGGCCAGAGAACAACTTACAGAATTCTCACCTTCCACCACAGGGGTCCCAGTTAACAAACTCAGGGTACCAGGTGTTGATACAAGCACCTTTACCCACTAAGCCATCCTGCTGTCCCGAGACTTCTTGCATCTTCACACATACGTTCCATGTATTTCTAGTGTTTCTCCTAGACTCCTACTTAGCTAATAACAGTGCATGATCTAAATTACAGACTACTCCAATGAAGGTTCTTTAGGAATATCTACTACATATCAGTAAACTAGGATTCCTAATTGAATTCAGTCACAAACATGAGACTCAGCATTTATGCCTTTACAGAAAGAAGCGTGGCAACAAACGGCAGACTTGGAGAAAACTGCACTCCACTGTGACCAACACAACTAATTTAAAAAGGAGATGAGGCTTTGAACCGATACTTGATCCTAGGAAAATGTCAAAAGTTGTTTGCCACTACTACATCAGCTTTTTAAATTTTCCCAAAGTCCTCAGTGGGAGAAATATTTTATTCTGACATAAAACAATTTTCCAAACAAAACAGGAGAAAAATATTTCTCAAAACAACTTACTCTGGCAGCAGATGCAAAAGAATCAGGGCCATGAGCCGCGTTTCTTATGCTATCTGTCCCAAAGACGGCTCTGATGCTTCCGGGGGCATCTGTATGAGCTAGGTTAGAGTTTGCGGGTCCAAGCAATCTTTTCCACTCACAGATCGCATCATCTTTTAAAATCTCCATGGCAATAACAGGCCCACTTGTAATAAACTGGATCACTTCGCTAGGAAACAGGGAAAAGTCTGAATTACTTCTCTACTCTGTCAATCTAGACACCTGCCTTAACAATGAAGATACGGTTGAACATTAGTAATTTCAGGGACTAGAGTTTCTGGGCACAGTGAAGTGAATATGGGCAGTGCAAAACCCTCATCTCATGACTGGAGCTTTACATGGATCTAGTTTGCTACAAAATCATTACAGAACTTTTGTCAGGTTCACTACTGTTTGCAAAGGGAAAGCTTGTTGAATTCTGGCATTTCACTAACTTGAAGTGCATATTGTTGATCTAAGCTTTTCCTATTATTCTAAGGACAAAAGTGATTCCCTTCTTATTTACATACGGTTTACTGTGGTAGGTAGAATTTTACAATAACAAAATAATGAGCATGACATTTTGTAACATTTTCTATGCAGAGAATGACAACTCTAAACCAATGTGAGAAAGAAAAAGAATGGCACCAGGCCTTCAAACACTAGCCTCTTATTAGGAGAAAACTACTCTGGGTTATGATACACTAAATGATCAACCATACACACAGGACTTCATTAAAAGTTTATGTCTTAGTACCAGCTCCCTGGGAAGGAAAACTGACACTTAATTTTATTTTTCCATTTCTTCATGTACAGAAGGCAGCAATGATAAATTTCACTTGAAATAAGTGACATGCCAGGCAAAATAGAGAAAGGACAGGACTTTCTCAGAGAAAGGAAGACAGCGTAACAGGCTATGACCCTGACTGCTTTATACACTCCCTTCCCACCCCTTCATTAATCAACCCTTTTCACTTTAGAAAAACATTTCCAAGAAGTAACAACTAGAAGGAAGTATCTATACACACTATGTTAAGAGGACACGATATTCTTTTTTTTTAATTTATTTTTTTTATTATGTATACAACATTCTGCTTCCATGTATGTCTCTGCACACCAGAAGAGGGCACCAGATCTCATTACAGATGGTTGTGAGCCACCTGCTGGGAATTGAACTAAGGACCTTTGGAAGAGCAGGCAGTGTTCTTAACCACTGAGCCATCTCTCCAGCCCCGAGGACACAGAATTCTTAAACATACTGCTACATCTTAGCAGCCAAAACCAAATACAGAAAGGAAGTACGAAGGGAGAGAGGGAGGAAGGGAGGGAACAGTTACCTACTTAATAAGCATTTAATTATCATGCAATATATATATATATATAGCCATAAAATAGGATCCAACCCTGAGAATTTTATAATGAGTGTGGCATATAACAATTGAGGGGTGGGGCTACTGCGAGGACATGGATCCTGAGCTGACTTCAGTTACTTCAGCTGGGCTCTGATTGTCTTCCCAATGTCAGACTACCAGTTCATTCATTCAGTTATTCAAACTTTCTGCATATGAACAGCATGTAAGATATTAAGCTAGGAGTTATGATTCAGGGTTATAAAGACAAAGAACCTAAAACAAAGAATAATTGCCAAAAAATGTATATGATAATTCTAACAAAGTTTAGGAATATTTTATAATATCTGATTAAGCTATAATATAGTAATTTTATGAAATAGAGTTCTTTTTTTTTATATAAAGTTATTCTATGGGCTGGAGAGATGGCTCAGCGGTTAAGAGCTCTGACTGCCCTTCCAGAGGTCCTGAGTTCAATTCCTGGTAACCACATGATGGCTCACAACCACCGTGAATGAGATCTGGTGCCCTTTGCTGGCATGCAGGAACAAGACTGTACACATAATAAAATCTTTTTTTTTTTAAAAATTTATTCTATGTAGATTATCAAATAAAACGCCTACTGCAGCAGATTGGATAAATTTCATTTGTCTTTATTAGAAATATAGAGGGGTTAGGTGGGGAGAGCAGGAGGAGAGGAGGGAGGGGAAACTGGGATTGCGATGTAGAAAGCAAATTAATAAAAAAAGTTTAAAAAAAGAAATACAGATATTTGCTTGTCAATAGCTATGCACATTATTCATTTTAATTACATCCAAAATTTTTATAATCAATTCAGTTTCTAACAAACATTATTAGCTATTAGCCATTTATTTCCAAAAGAACAAAATATGTGTCAAATTATTTAGTTCTGTGACTTGTTTTGTACATACAAGATACCAAAATAAAGACCTTAAAAGCACAACAAAATTCTCAGAATAAAATATAATTATAAGCCAGGCAGTGGTGGTGCATGCTTTTAATCCCAGCACTTGGGAGGCAGAGGCAGGAGGATCTCTGTGAGTTCAAGGCCAGCCTGGTCTACAGAGCTAGTTCTAGGAGAGCTATGACAGTTACACAGAGAAACTCTGTCTCAAAATACAAAAACTATATATAGATAGATCTATCTATCTATCTATCTATCTATCTATCTATCTATCTATCTATATGTCTATATCTATATATATGTCTATATATATGTCTATATATGTCTATATATATCTAGATATATATATCACATTTTCAATTCAATGAAACATAAAAGGATGCTTCTTAAAATTTAACTAAGCGATCTATTTGTTTCTGATTAAGTTTCAAGTATTTAGTGGTGGATATAAGAAGTCTTTCTAACAAAAGTATAGAAAAAACAATTTTAGTCCCCATGTAAGCACCTACTTATAAAAAGGCTTTGAGTGGTGGTCTACAAGAAAGTCTGTTGCTTCTTTCCTATAAAATAAGCAAAATAACAATAGTTAAGATTTCTTAAAATAGTTACTTTAGTATATGTTAATAAAACAACGTACAAATTAAAACACACACACACACACACACACACACACACACACACACAATCTGCATATAAGTTAAGTTTTTTTTCAACCAAATAGCAATCCCAAGTATGGGTCCTATGGATGCTGAGATATAACATTAAAATAGGAGGATATTTTTATTTTTTTATTAATGTTACACTTCATCTGTCTTCCATTTTATCAGCATCTCACCGGATTCTCAATACAATTAAATATCAGATCAATAAGAATGTTTGCTATTTAAAGTCTAAACAATTTATATTTAAAAATGAGGAGACATCTTCTAATTCAAAACTTAGAATTAATTTTAAGCTTTAGAATTTTGGCCACAGCTTATTTTTCTTTTGTCATCCACTGGGGATAAACCTAGGGCCTCACTCCTATAATAGAGCACTCTCTCCACTGCCCCCCAAGTTCTTAATTCAGTAATTTTTGCTTAGTAAGGTCTCTTCAAGGAAAAGATCTGTATGTTTGTAGTTTTAAAAACTGCTTGACAAATTATACATATTAAAACCTACATTTCCACTAAAGGTATCTGTAGAGACAATAAAATGATACTATCATCTACTCCGGTAAGCTTAAAGGCCTAAAAGCTTTTTCTTTCCCCACCAAAATTGGGTGTCTTTCTTATAACTGTGCAGCTTTCTTGTTGGATTTAAAAAGAATTTATACCATGCAACAAATACATACATACATACATACATATCAATTCATTGGTTTTTTACAATTTTTGTTAATTTATTTTAAATGTACAGGATTTAGCCTGTATGTTTACCACATGCATGCAGTACACTTAGTGATTCAGAAGAGGGTGGTAGATCCCCTGGGACTGTTGTTACAGGTGGTTATGAGTCACATGGGTCCTGAGAACTGAACCTGGGTCCTCTGGAAGAGCAGCCAGTGCTCTTCACTGATGAGCCATCCCTATAGTCCTTCAATTATTTTTTAAAGTAGCAAATAAAATACAGGTGTTTGCCAACAAAAAAAAAAAAAAAATCAACCTTTAGGCTTGAGAATTACGATCTATTTACCATCCATAGTTAGGGAGGTTTAGAGCACTATGGGAAACCTACTGTTGTTGTTTAGCTAAATTGACATGGTGTCAAGCTGTCTTCTATGCAATTATGTTTACACCCACAGACAAATGCTGCTCTCAAAGGCCTTGCTCAGATAGGCTTCTTTCCAGTGAACATTCATCTGTGATGAATGCACAGATTCTAGGATGCTCAAGGTACCAAGAGAAGAGACAGCTGGGTGCTGAGCCCTAAGCAAGACATTTATACCATACGCTCCACGGCTCAGGAAGAATCACAGAAAGGGTGGAAGGAATGAAAGAGATGGCAGAGAGGGAGAAGGGCTGCAAAATGTTATCTGTTGAACATGACACAACCATTGCAAGCATGAACTCACAGCTGCTATCATTGCCTACACTGGACCTGAGCAAGACTGGACCTGTCAACAGTAGCATAAGTAATCTGTTATTAAATATTGCATGCTATGTTCTACTTTCATCCAGTGGGAAGCTCCATTTGCTGTCTACACAAGCATCATCTCAAGTGATCAAGTTATACCATGGAATGTATATATACACATCACTATATGTCACTATATAGTGACTATAACATCACTAGGTGATAAAAGATTCTCATCTCCAGGGGAATCTTATGCTGGGCATTGGTGGTGCATGCCTTTAATCCCAGCAGAAGGAGGCAGAAGCAGGCAGATCTCTGTGAGTTCAAGGCCAGCCTGGTCAACAGAGCCAGTTCCAGGACAGGCTCCAAAACAATACAGAGAAACCCTGTCTTGAAAAATCAAAAACAAACAAACAAAACAAAACAAAAATCCACTGGAATCTTATGAGACCATCATCATACACAGTTCATCACTGACCAAAATATTGCTATGTGCTACCTACATCACCTCATTTATTTCGGCCCTGCCTTGAATTGGAGGGCACTGGCATTGAAAAGAAGGGAGTGACATTTCTCTGTTCTGTCTGGCACTGTGAATACTTTTTTACCATTCTTATGATAAAGAAACTTAATCCTGGGATCACAATTACTTTGTAATAGAAAAGGCTTATTAGGAGAAGTCTTTTTTTTTTTTAATAATTTTTAATTTATTTACTTATTTTTATTACATACACAGTGTTCTGTCTGCATATTTGCCTGCACACCAGAAGAGGGCACCAGATCTTATGATAGATGGTTGTGAGCAACCATGTAGTTGCTGGAAATTGAACTCAGGACCTCTGGAAGAGCAGCCAGTGCTCTTAACCTCTGACCCATCTCTCCAGCCCGGGGAAAATGGCTTTTTGTTTGTTTTTGGTTTTTTGAGACAGGGTTTCTCTGTGTAGCTTTGGAGCCTATCCTGGCAGTCGCCCTGGAGACCAGGCTGGCCTCGAACTCACAGAGATCGGCCTGCCTCTGCCTCCCAAGTGCTGGGATTAAAGGTGTGCGCCACCAAAGCCCTGCTTAGGAGAAGTCTTATTTTCATCAAATACTTTAAAAAATACCTAATTAGGTTAAGTCATACTGCTTTTTAGAGAAGTAAATGGGTATAGTGGCATACACATTAAGATGAGTTAAATATAAACAAACATTTCTAAATGCATCTCTTTCAGGAACCAGAACTAAGAAGAAATCAGTGGATGGCCTCATCCTCTACTATTTTTATACAGTACATTATTCTCACATAGAAGAGATTATGTCAGGAATTGATGTTATGAAAGCAAACAGAGTTATGGAAGTCAACACAGCTAAATGAGGGCTATGTACTCTGACAACTGCTAGCTGCCTAGAGTTAGGTCTTCGTTTAACTAGCTGATTATCTATTGTCATGCTTTCTTCATCATGGTAGTCTATATTTGCCATTCAGTGAAAGACTTTTGTTTTGTGGGTTCTTTGTGTTTTTTTTTTTTTTTTTTGCTTTTGTTTATTTAAAAAATGATGGGAAAAATAAATGTCATTACATAACTGACAATGAGCAACATTAATTACCTTGAAAGTGTCATCATTCGGAGTTTAGTTATAGTAAATCCAGCTTTGATTATCATTTCAATTATTTTTCCAGCTTTTGATACTGCATCTGGTTTGATCAGGGCTAATGTTCTGTAAGAAATAAAGAATGGATTTGAAAATAAAAACAGTCCTCCAGTTTTTATTTATGATTCCAAGCAGTCATTTTCTTTTTTTTATTTGAATTAGAAACAAGATTGTTTTACATGACAATCCCAGTTCCCTCTCCCTCCCTTCCTCCCCTACCACCCTCCCCAACTAAACCCTACCTACCACATATCCTTTCCCGAGTAGTCATTTTCTTAACAACCATATCAGAACATTACTACCCAAATTAAAAATATAGGGAAGTGGATTAAAGGTATCTCTTAAAAAGTTACATAAAGTAAGATAACTATTTTCTCAACGAAATCAAAATAAGCTAAACCTCATTGTTAAAAAACAAGAGACTGGATGTGGTAGCAAACCCCTTTAGTTCCAACACCTAGGAAGCAGAGGATGGAGATCTCTATTGTGAGTTTGAGGTTAGTTTGATCTACAAAGAGTTCCAGGCTAGCCAACAATATATAACAAGACTTTACCTATAAAAAATAAAATAAGAGGAAGTGGTTGAAGAAGAGAAGAAAATACATAGGAAGGAACAATAAAAATTGTTATTTTTATTTAAATTTTTTATTACATTTACTTATTTTTCATGAGTGTTTATATGTGTGTAAGCATGAGCATTTCATGCAAGGAGTCCAGAGGGCAACTTGTGAGTCAGCTCTCTTCTACCATGTGGGTCTCAGGGATACAACTCAGTCCTCTGGCTTGATGGGAAATGCTTTTAACTGCTAAGCTATCTCATCAGTCCTAAAGTGTGTGTGTGTGTGTGTGTGTGTGTGTGTGTGTGTGTGTGTGTGTGTTTAAACACCCAAATTAGAAAATTCAGGTGTTTAAAATGTCTATATGTTATAGAATTTTTAATATAGAAAACTAACCCCCAGGAAATTGCATAGATATACTAGAAATTTAGTGTTAGTTCTCTAACAACTTAAATTTATGCTTGCCATGCTTTCTCAGGTCAGCATTGACTCAAAAGTAACTATAACTATAAATTCTTCTACTGGGTCTCTATTCATGGCAAGGTTGAAACACAAAGACCCAAATGCCCTCTCAGCCAACAACACATCTCAATATCAAATGCCATGGTAGCCTTTAAACATGAATCATGCTTTTTCTTCCAAAAAGTTCCACCAGAGCCCTGCTGTGTCCAGCAAGCTCCCACATCCATCTTCAAGAGAAAACAGTATGAAAACCTTTAGGATAAATTAACCTTCTCAATGGACAGTGAGAAAACAGATTGGCTAGCCTTCACCAAGGCACACAGGATGTAGATATCTGAAAAACAACAATCCTCCCAGAACCACACAGCAAGAACGTCTTTCGTAGACATCACACTCCAAGCAAACTGCAGCAAGCTGGTCTGTGAGAAGACAACCAGCAACCTGCCATAGAACAACAACCTAGATAAGGCAGTGTGAACACTGTACAAGGGGCATGTCAGTTCTGTGCCAGGCCCCTCTGAATGCAGTACACCTACAGAAATAAAAACGCTCATCTATGAAAAATGTTTCAGAATGTACTCATGCTTGTTCTAAGTACACAACAATCCATTTTAAATAACAACCAATTTGTGATTTCTCTTATGTTCTCTTTGCAAGCATGTGCTCACTTCACAGATAAAGGACAACAGTCTCTCAGGCAACCTGTGATTTAGAGAAAAACACACTCTGAATGATTTCAACTGGTAACAACAGCAAAGTTGTTCAGAGAAATCCTTCTAGTGAACATGTTTTTATTGTTGTTTTTGTTTTTTGTTTTTTTCCAGACAGGATTTCTGTGTGTATCCCTGGCTTCTAGGAACTTGCTCTGTAGACCAGGCTGGCCTCCAACTCACAGAGATCCACCTGCACCTACCTTCCAAGTCCTGGGATTAAAGGCATGCGCCACCACTGCCTGGATGAAAACTTTTTTATAACATGTGTAATACTTATTGGAAGGAAGCAAGGAAGGAAGGAAGGGAGGGAGGGAGGGAGGTTGAAAGGAAGGAAGCAAGGAAGGAATCTTGCTATAACCTTGAATTTTCAACCCTCTTCCTGAGTGCTAGAATTACAGACATGTACTGCCATTCCACACACCTTTAAAATCATTTTTTTAAGGCAGAGATGAGTTGACTAGATAGTAAATAACTATTAAGAAAGTCTAAAATAGGGGTCTTGAAAAGGTGAGAATCAATGTCGCTTTTGACTTGCCAGCACGGCCTCTGGAAATCTGAACTTTAATATGCACTGCAGTACCAGTGGAGGAAACAGACTATAACAGATGATCATTCCTAAAATAATTTGGACCAAATTCTACAACTTCAGGGCAAGCCAGAAGGCATGTGCTCATATCACATAGATTCAGAACTAAAAAAGAATGTTTAATTACACTTTTAAATTGTGTGTGTGTGTGTGTGTGTGTGTGTGTGTGTGTGTATGTGTATATGTCTGAGGGTGTGTGTGTCTGTGGGTGCATACATCATGGTATACATTAGAAGATCAGAGAACAGTCTGAGAGGCTCAGTTCTTTCCTTCTACCATATGGGTCCCAGGACTCAAACTCAGGTCTTAATGACTTAGCAGCTGTCACCTTTACACACTGAGCCATCTCACCAGCACTAGAACTGAAATATTTGAACTTGGATAATGGATAACAGCCATCCCTCTAAGAAACAGACAGAAACAACAGCTCCTCCCCAGAAGCAAAGAAATTGTATTCTGTCCCTCAAGTAATTCAGCATAAACACACAGCACACACCTATCATACACATTTATGCAATAATCCCACACATATACCCATGATAATCACAACATAAAGATAATATGAGAGATGGAGGGTGGGCATCAATATAAGGAAGAAGCAGAAGAAACACCAAAGAAGAAATGAAGACTTACAAGCCTTTAAACACTTCAGATTCTGGAGCTATGGGTTTTGCAACAATAATTTAGAGGGGAAAAGCAGACAAAATAAACTTAAAAGATCACAAAAAGATGCAATGATGAAAAAGATAAGAAAGTTTTTGGGAAGAAGTTGACAATACGACCCCTATCTGGATGTGGAGTTCCAATAAAAGTCGGATTCAGGAAACTCAACTGTGATGCCTGTGTGAATGCTGAGAACGCAGAAGGAGCAGGTTACTGAGTAAAACAGAACTCCATTTTGAATTTGTTAATTTTTAAGAACCTGTGAAAAATCTAGGTGGAAATGTTCAGAAACAGAAGAACATATGGTTTTGCAGCTGGGGTGGAATCTAACTCGGACAGAAACATGCAGCTGCATCAGAGGAGTGAACAGAATCTCAGTGGTAACAGAAGAGAGGGCCTGTGGGTAGAACTGAATTAATGATGACTGTCAGAGCTAAGCAAACATTTGGAATTATCTGATGCACTTAAACATTCAAAAGAGATTCGGCTCTTTCTCCTTGTATCCAGAAAGCCATCTTTAAACTCCTTCTAAGCACAGACACCACCTTCAATGCAGCTTGGAATACTCACACTCCTTTTCAGGGAAATGTGTGCATAAAACAGCTGAGATTCCTGGACTCAGAAGTTTATTCAAGTCACCCAAATGACTGCTATTATTTACTACCCAACTGCAGTTACAAAAGAATCAGAAGAGACAATGGTGAAATAATTTAAGCCAATGGAATATACTATTGCATGCATTTTCATTAACCATAAAGGCCAAATCCTTCAAATGGTTACTCACATTAAAGTACATCCAGTTTAAAAATTCATCCCACCCAATGGTACTAGAAGTGTATCAGAAAAAGGACACATTTTAGAGTAAAAAACAAAACAAAACAAAAAATCCAATGGAATTTGTTTCCTTTTACTGTCTAGATGTGTGACTGGCCAAGGGACTTTACCATCCTATAGAATCAGTTAAGAACATTCATTCCTCACAAATCAGAGTTAAAAGATAGAAGTAACGATTGTTAGGACCATTTTTACTTTTATTTGGCTCCAGTCAAGTCTATGAATCCCAGCTTAATACCTTTTCTAATTTAAATGAAAACCTAAAGTTCTCAATAGCTGAGATGAGTATGCAAAGTGCCCATCACAATGACTAGCTGTGATGAAAACACCACGAGCAAAAAGCAAGTTGGGGAGAAAAAGGTTTATTTGTTTTACACTTTCATATCATTGTTCATCATTGAAGGAAGTCAGAACAGGAACTCAAATAGAGCTGGAACCTGGAGGCAGGAGTTGGTGCAGAGGCCACAGAGGAGTGATGCTTACTGGTTGGCTCCTTGTAGCTTGTTCAGCCTGCTTTCTTATACCCAGGACCACCAGCCTAGGGATGACAGTACCCACAGTGGGTAGGACCCTCCCACATCAATCATTAATTGAGAAAATGCCTCACAGCTGGATATTATGAGGCATTTTTCTCAATTGAGGTTTCCTCCTTTCAGGTGACTTTAGCTTGTGTCAAGTTTACATAAAACTAGCCAGGACACTGGAATATATTATTATCTACAGTGAGTGAAAGCTATAGATATTTATTACTCATAAAAGGGATCATAGAGGCTGAAGATATGGCTCAGTTGGTAAAGTGCTTACCACACAAGCATGAGGGCCTGAGTTAAAAACTAAGCATGGTGGTTGTGCACCTGTAATCCTAGCACAAGGGAGGAAGAGACAGGTGGACTCCTGATGCTTTGTGACCACACAGTCTAGCCAAATTGGTGAGCTCCAGATTCAGGGAGAAACCCTGTCTGGACATATAAAGCAGAGAGTGATAGAGGAAAATTCTCAGTGTCAACCTCTGGCGCGTGTGCGCGCGCGTGCGCGCACGCACGCACGCACGCACACACACACACACACACACACAGAGGAATGCACACATGCAGGTATGTACTCAAATTCATACACACACATGCATGCACAAACACAGGAACACATGATGGAGTTATAGCTGCTATCTCTTTACTCTCACTAACTTTTAACATCAGATTTCATAAGAATAAATGATGCTCTTGGTCTAATACTGTAGGACCTTCCCAACTTAACAGTTGCCCTTTGATGGTCTCCCACAAGGCAATCAATCTTCATTTGGCTGGTCACCACCTGTGCACTAACCCCTACACTGAGCTTCAAACCACCTCAAGAATTAGAAAGAGACTGTAAAGAAAGGATAAGGAAGTCACAGAAAGAAATACCCTGTTCTATAGAGGCTACAACAGATAGTAGGCACTGCTATTTTGGTAGTAGGCCTTAAGAAATGACTTGACTGATTTTTTTTTCCAGTTTGAGTTAAGTAGTTTCTGGAAATTTTTAAACATACAGCCTTAACTTCCAACAATGATCCCTAATGTTAAGAACTACAACAGTAACTACATAAGTACCAAAAAACCCCCCAAAAAAACAAACAAAAAACACCTTTCGAATTATCTCCAAAATCAAAGCCAAGAGATGAAGGAATTAAAATTTCATTTCCAACATATTTAATCTGTTCTCAGAACACTGCAGTTCATAAATGTGGGCACTGAAAATTAAAATGCCATTTTCATAACACTGGAAATCAATTTTCAGAAGAAAAGTTATTATTAAGTCATTTTTTTTCCTATAAAGCTTGATTTTTAGCTGCATCTTCAATTGGTTTGGTTTCTTTCTAAATCAAAACCAAAGAAGATCAGGATGGCAAACACTAAGGAAAGAGGAATAAAAGGAGCATGTGCTGCTCAGTGCTACTGAAAGTTTATCCATGTCACAGAAAAGCCATGGCATTCCTTGGACAGTTGTCCTTTCAGGCCCCTGTGTAAAAGCTTAGTCCCAAGCCTGTAGTTCTATGGCAGAACTTTGCTAGGAGGGAGGGGGGTGTTCTGGGAGGTCTTTAGGTCACAACTTAGAAGAAGTGTTAGGGCAGCAGACCGTTCTTTACTTTTCTGTCCTGAGGTGAAACGCTTCCTCCACCACTCAGTATCCCATCATAATGTGTTGTATTGCTGCGAGCCCAACACAGTGAGGTCAATCAATTATATGATGAAAGCTCCAAAACAATGAGACAAACTGACCTCTTCTCTCTTTAAGATGCCTTATCTCGGCATTTGTTAGAATAACTTGCTAACTAAAGCAAGCCAGTGCAATAGGAGGGAGAGATGAGGAAGGCAGGCATGCCTGCCAGTAACCTTACTCCTTTATATACCAGGCATTTGCAATGACATAATCCCACTCATTCATTCATTTATAAAGGTTTGTAGGAACGTTGTGAACAAAAAAGACAGATTGGCTTGTCTGCATCACAGTATTTTTCCTACAGTTTCTTTTCTTTTTCATTTTGACATTCATTGTCTTTTATCAGTCATGTCTTCCACCCTTATTGGACATGCTAGTTCTATGACTAAGATCAATAACAGACAACATCAGTGACAAACAGCTTAAACTTCCTTATCAATTAGATCAAAAGTCATAACTTGAAGATAGAAAGGAAATACAAAAAAAGGGCTGATAAACTTGAGTTTTTAATTTATTAATTCCTTCAGCTGACACAGATTAGGCACTTGTAATGTTTAAAGCGATTTGCTCAGTGACATAAAAGAAATAAATAATGATGAAGTAAAATAGAATGAGAAGAACCATTTCCAGGTCCTATGTTTAAATTCTCATGTCTTTTTGTTTTTCAGGTATTAAAATTTATTTTAGTTATTGCACAAAGCAATGGGTTTCACTATTACACTTTCATAATATACAGCATTAAACTTTGCTCATCTAACCCCTTAGAAACCCCCACCATCTCCTCGTTTGTATAGTGGTGGGGAAGAAGAGGAGGGATGAAGAGGACATGAGGGAGCAGAAAGGTTGAGTCAGGAGAAGAATAGAAGATGACAAAAAAGGAGATACTATAATAGAGGGAGACATTTTAGTTTACAGAGAAATCAGGCACTAGGGAAATATCTGGAGATCTACAAAGATGACACCAGCTAACTATCTAAGCAACAGAGGAGAGGCTACCTTAAATGTCCTCCCCCCGATAATGAGATTGATGACTGACTTATATGCCACCCGATAGCCCTCATCCAGTAGCTGGTGGAAGTAGAAGCAGACACCTACAACTAATCACTGAACTGAACTGGAATCCAGATGCAGAGAAGGATGAATGAAGAGCAAAGGGGTCCAGACCAGGCTGGGGAAACCCACAGAAACAGCTGACCTGAGCATCAGGGAACTCTTGCTCCCCAGACTGATGGCTGGGATTCCAGCATGGGACTGATCCAGACCCCAGGAACATGGGTTTCAGTGAGGAAACCTCGGAAATCTACAAGACCTCCTGTAGTAGTTCAGTCTTATCCCTAGCATAGGTATGGACTTTGGGAGCCCATTCCACATAGAGGAATACTCCCTGAGCCAAGACACACAGGGGAGGGAACTGGGATTGTCATGTAAAACAATCTTGTTTCTAATCCAAATTTTAAAAAATCTGAAAAAAAAGAACCCCCCCCCACCATCTCTCCCTCCTCGGGTTGGTCCCCTTTCATAAATATATATTCCACTTGACAATGCTAGTGTCTTCTCACAAGCATCACCTGGCTTAAACTTTGGATAAGGCTTCTGTCCCTCCCTGCTCCCATCCCTTCCTGCCAGCTCTGCCAGGGAGCAACAGTGGAGCAGTGTGCTGCCCACTCCTTCCTACTGGGTTGCCCTTTTTGTTTCCCCCACACTTTACAGTTGACATCATTTTCTTTAAAATTTTTTTTTAGTTAGTATATAAAATAATGTGATTCATAGTGACATTTTCATGTCATTATACCCTGTTCTTTTTCACACCCTGCTGCGCTCTCCAATGGTGACTAATTTCTTCTTAGTCTCACTTCCTTCCCTCCAATAGTCTCTGTCTGCTTTCATGACATATATATTCTATTACAATCTCTTGTTCCCCAATCCCCACTCTCTTTAGTCCTCTCTCCTCCATAGTTTCCTTTCTACACTCTATCATCTATCTATCTGTCTATCTTCCACATTTTAAAGAAAGCATATGATATCCATCATCAGTCTAGCTTACTTCACTTGCCATAATGACCTCCAATTCTATCCTCTTTTTGCAGATGTCAGAATTTCACTCTTTGTAGCTGAATAAATTTCCCCCAACAAGCTATCTCTCTCTCTGTGATTTCTGATGTTGTCCAGATCTTCCTGTCTTTGGAACAGAGGCAATCCTTTGTTCTCTTGGCTTGATTCACTTAGTGCATCACCTTGAGGCAGCTTCTCATCCACCTTCACCCCAGATGTTTCTAACGATTGCATTCTTGACTTGGACGGTCTCTGAGCTTTATTTATTTGTTTGTTTGAGACAGGATTTGTTTGCTTAACTGTCCTGGCCATCTTGGAACTCTGTAAGCAAGGCTGGCCTTACACCCAGAGATCCACCTGCCTCTGCCTCCTGAGTGCTGAGATTAAAGGTGTGTGCCACCATTGCCCATCTCATTTTATTTTTATAAGTTGGGATCTCATACAAGTTGACCTGAGCCTCCGTACATAACCTCATATGACCTTGAACTCGAATGCTCCAACCTCTACTTCCCAAGTGCTGGGAAGACAAACATAGGCCACTGCCCCCAGTTTCACACAGTGCTGGGGCTCAAACCCAGGCCTTCAGGGCTTTATCCATTCTAGACATTCTACCAACTAAGCTACATCCCAGCCTTCATTACTCCATTTCAATTAACCACATACACTTTTTATTTCCTATTCATACCTATTATTACCATAATTATTCAGATCATTATTTTAGTAATTAAACTTTTATAAGTTTCAGCCACCATCTTATTCAAGCAGAATAATAGTTCTTCTCAACTTAAGCTAGGATTTCCCACCTTTGCATCTTTCTTTACACTCATTCCTTTGGCTAGCATTTGACCCCAGCTCATCTAACTGGGTGATAATTCAATCTGTCTTTAATCATCAAGACCAAACGACTCCACAAAGCCCTCAGTTTCGCAAGAAAAACTTCATTGTCTTCCGAGTTTACATTGATTCATGCATCATTGCTTCCTCTCTCCCAAAGCCATTCCTATCCATTGGAAGAAGAGTTTATCCTTCTCAAAATAGTCTTAGGCTTTAGTGAGAAACAACAACAACAAAAAAACAACAAAAAAGATAGTGTGTAAAAAACTTCTCATTCCCCTCCCCCCCCAAAATATTCACCTCCCAAGACTACAGATAATCATTTTGTTATTCTAATCATAAACAAATCCTAGATCAGTTGCAAACTATTCAAAAAAGAATGTTATAACATTATATTGGGTCACTGGAAAAAAAGGTATGCTGTGAAAACACAATCAAGAAACAGCAAATCAGAAATTAGTAGCCAAAGTCCCACATAATGAATGATTCAATGGAAAAGATGACATAATTGTTTTCTTACTTCTCTTTCCTACTGCCCAGCTGGCGAGCTGTGTATTGGTCCCCATAGTCAATCAACAGCAGTTGTCGAGAAAAGACATTCACTTTGTTGCCTATAAACAAATCTTCCACGCGCAGGTCGTCATACTTGGTCCGCTTTAAGAAGGTACGACGATGCTTTACATCATGCTAGGACCAAACACAATGAAAAATATAAGTAAAGAATGTTAACCTTACTGGGAGGTAGATAGCTATACCCTTTTACTTTTGACTACACATATAACCGATGAAGTTGTCTGGTGTCTTCCTCTGTCATTTCCCACCTTACTCTATTGACACAGGGTCTCTCACTGAAAGTGAAGTTTGCTGTTTAAGCTAGGCTCGATGGCCAGAGAGCTCAGAGGAGCTGCCTGTCTCTGCTACTCAATATTGGCATCCATCACATGGAATAAGGCCCAGCTATTATGTAGGTGCTTAATGTTCAAGCTCAGACCTTTATGCTTTCACAGCCAGTGTTATTACCCACTAAGAGATCTCTCTAGGTTGCTTAGCTTGTTTTGAGAAGACGTCTTGCTATACAGCTCAGGCTGACCTTGAACTTGTGATTCTGCTGCCTCAGCCTCCTAAGTATTGAAATTATAGTGAAATGTCACTAAGTTTAAGCTGTTCCTATATTTTTAATGTCAAAACTTGTGAAATAATTTGGTTAGACATCTCCAACAAGGTTGGGTGCGAAGGTGCACATTTATAACCCCAGCTGAGATGAGGCAGGATTGCAAAGGAGAAGCTATTCTGGATTATGTGGTAAAATCCTGTCAACCTCATAACTCAGAAAAAAATACCAGCAGAAAGCTATCTTGATATATTAATGAACACTAAGAAAAAAGAATTCCAATAAAAATACATCTTCAGATAGTAGTTGATTACTCCCACACCTTTGTGCCACTATTACACCAGTGTGCCTTGCAAGCTGGCCACCTGTGTGTATCTCAATGTCTATGTGTGTTTCTTGTGCTTTTTTTCTTAGGCTTTTTTTTCTGTTTGTTTTGTTGTATTATGATTTGTTTTTATTTAGTTTCTTAGATGCCTGTTTATATTCTAATGAAGAAAGAAAGACAGGGTGTGATGGGGAAGTTGGGAAAATTTGGAAGGAGTTGGGAGAGGGGAAACTGTAATCAGAAAATATTGTATGAAAAAAATCTATTTTCAACTTACAAAGAAAAAAATTTATCTTCAATTGCAAAATCAAAATCAACCATACCAAAGGCAGTCTTATTCTTCTCCTTGTCCCATAAAAATAATTTTGCTAATTTTTAAGCAAGCAAAGGCTATTTGTCAGTGTGTTAGCTCGTATGTCTGAGCAGACTTCCATGAACTCGCCTGGAAGCCAAAGGTGAACTTCAGGTCTTGTTCTCAGGAGCTGTACACCTTACTTTTATTTGTTTCCTTTTTTGTTTGGGGGAGGTTTTTTTGGTTTTGTTTTAAGACAGAGTCTCACTATGTAGCCCGAGCTGGCCTGGAACTTGCTAGGTAAACCAAGCTGGCCTCAACCAAGTACTGGCCAGGCTTCTGCCTCCTGAGTACTTGATTAAAGATGTGCAGCACCACTCCTGCTTCACCTTAGCTTTTGAGACAGGACCTCTCACTGAACCTGGGGCTTACCCAGTCAGCTAGACCATCGAGCCAGTAAGGCCCACCACATCTCTACGGGAATTACACAGTGCTGGATTACAGGAAGGCACCACCTTGCTTGACTTTTCCCGGCCGCTGAGCATCAGACTCAGGTCCTCAGGCTTGCACAGCCAGCACTTTGCCAACTGAGCCATGGTCCTAGCCCTCATTTACCATTTCAACAGTTCCATCTGCGGGGTAAAACAGAAGCTCGTAGCGTCGGAGCAGTGAGGCGTTGGGATCGTACCACTCTGTAAGGAAAGCAAACCTCTCACTCTGATTCTGTGAAGAAAAGAATTTTATCACTGTCATATAGCACATAAGCACTCCTGTAAGTCATAGAAAAAGAAAATGAGGATTTCCAAATACTGACACAAGCCAATCTTTGCTATTGTAATGAATTATTCTTCTTAGAAATCTGTCCTGCTGGTTTCTGGTCAAATACCCTTGGGTCTTTCAAAGGTGCACTTAATCTTTGTTTCATGGCCATTCAGTGTCCTAATATAGTCAGCAATCTTGGAACATGAGCTCCTGATATGACTCCTTTAACAACATACAGAACACAGTTGTTCTGAAGTCAAGTTTACTTAAAAACTGTCATAAGCTATCAAAGGTCTCCAATGCTACAGATTTTCATATCCCAAACTTGGGGATTTAGCAAATATAGATTATTGTCACTGATGTGGTAAATGTTCCTTCTCTCCTTAGTCATTTTACAGCAGTATCATTTTAGAGAAAAAAAAAAAAAAAGACCCTACTGTTTCTACAAAAGCAGTCACCTCTGAGAAACAGAAGTAAGCCAGGCCTTCCATGTATTACTCTCTGATAAATAAGCACCAAACAGAAGACTGACAAGAATGATCTCCACTATTTCCAAAAGTTTTAAGTATTCTGAAGCTCTTAGGTATGGCCTCTTAGAGTTTTGAGTTAGAGTTTGCAATACAAACTACACACAAAGAAGTCTCCTGCCTGTTATCTTGAAAAGGGAGCCAATTTCTTAAATAACCATGATTCACCTCAATGGAAATTTTTTTAAAAAAACAAAAAACCATAAAAGCAATCATGGAGCGCTGGAGAGATGGGTCACTACCTGCTCTTCTAGAGGTCCTGAATTCAATTCCCAGCACATACATGGTGGCTCACAGCCATCTATAGTGGGATCTAATGACCTCTTCTGGCATGTAGGTGTACAAACAGATGGAGCACTCATACACATGCAATAAATAAGGAAATCTTTTGTAAAAATCATGGAATTGCTACCCACAGATGCAGAAAAATAACTCTCAAGCCAGTACTCCTTCCTTTATGAGGTAGAGAGGTACTCTGAGAGCAAACTGTACTCAAACTTGGTTTACTTTCTACCTCCTGATTCCCTTGTGAAGCACACACCCTGCCCCTTCTTTCTTCTCACACGCATTTGGGGACATAAAGACAGGACATCTAGACTTGGGTTTTGCTGAGGTTCGCATGTCTCTACCAACCCCCTTTTGAAAGTTAATTTCCAATGTGATAGCAGTAAGCCTTAGAACTTTAGAGATGTTCACAGGTTGCACATTAATGAATCGGTGCTGCTTTGGGAATGAGTTGTTACAAAGGGAACTCCCCCACTCATCCTTTTTGATCATCCACTATGGAACAAAGATGCTCATGACATGTTCTTTGAATTTTCAACACTCAGAACAATAAGCCAAATAAATATATCTTCTTTATAAGATACCCAGTCTCCTCACATATTATGTTAAAACAACAGAAACTAAAAGACAGCCTGATATTCTCTCTCTCTCTCTCTCTCTCTCTCTCTCTCTCTCTCTCTCTCTCTCTCTCTCTCTCTCTCTCTCTCTCTCTCTCTCTCTCTCTCTCTCTCACACACACACACACACACTCACACACTCCCAGACCACACTCATTTTCAAAACTTTTAAATTTTACTTTTCAACTTCATTGAGTCAAGTCTATCACTTTCTAAGTGATATCAATGCTGAGTACCACTTTATTCAAGGCCTTCATTTTATAGATAACGAAATTGAGTTCCAGAGGATATCCACGACTAGCATAACATTATGGATCTTGTCACGTGACTGAGCCAAACGCAGCACTGCACTTTGCACTTCCCAGCTCTTTCCCCAGTTCTGGCCTTGCAGGAGAACTCAAGCAGAAACTGGTTCTACTAGTACATATAGAAACCTCGAGTTTGTTCTATAATGTGCCTGGTGGTTACAGGACTAATTGTTCACTAACTCTTCATTGAATAGTTCAGTTTCTCTCAGAAATACTTTATAGAAAATATTCAAACATTCCATTGTATCAAAAATATTGTTTTTTAAATTGTTTTATTTTGGGTGGTGGTAAATTGGAATTCAGGCTCACTCACTCACTAAGACCTTGAAGAGACTAAATCGGAAGGAGGTTGGTTATAGAACACTGCTTCCACACAACAGCCATTTCTACTTTAGCCAGAGCAGCTGGGATTACTCAAGCATCATGAGGACCCTGTTGACATTCCCTCATGGAAGGAGCATGCAAGGAGGGTCATCAGTTCCTCATCTGAGATTCCAGTCACTAGATACTTCCTGTGCACCCTCTCCCACTTGCATATAATCCTGGGAGGTGCATATAATCCATATATAATCCTGGGAAGTGTATATAATCTGTATATGATCCTATCTGTATATGATCCTGGGAAGTGTATATAATCTGTATATGATCCTGGGAAGTGTATATAATCTGTATATGATCCTGGAAAGTGTATATAATCTGTATATGATCCTGGGAAGTGTATATAATCTGTATATGATCCTGGGAAGTGTGTATAATCTGTACATGATCCTGGGAAGTGGTGCACACACACAGTAGCAGGTAAAGCGAAAGGAGCTCTGTCTATGCATTTGGGGGAAGCTCAGACAATCAAAGATATTTTATCAAAAACTTGGGTAGCAATTTTCTTTCTAAAGGTTATAATTCAATTGGCTATGTAATGATTTGTTTTATAATTTGAACTTACAAAATAGGCAAGGCACTATTGAAAAAAATAAAAAACACTCATGAATATGAAACTGCTATTAACAAATTATAGATGTGAGAAATTAACTGCTGTGTTTTGGGTTCACACAGAAATCAAAGGCGTTCTGAAAATAACAAAGCCTTAACATTCATATAGTTAATGTAATTTTGTTTTATGGATTTTAAATTTTATTTTACTCTTTAGAGACAGGGCCTCCTATAGCCAAGGAGTGGGTCTGCTCATCTTCCCCGCCTCTAACCTTCTAAGCGCTGGGCTTACAAAGGGTGCACCATGCCCAGCATAAATTTCAAAGTCATATTATACACTGCACTTATTAGTGGTGTATTTGCAAAAAACAGACAGTCTAATGCCACATAGCTACTCTAAAACCAAAAACTAATTATGTCTAGGTTTGCGGAGAAAAACAGTACTGCAGGGACTCTATCAGGGCTTATGATAAAATGACTTATATTTTATTTAAAAGGAATAAATATGTACAGATGAGAAAGCACTTCAGTTCAAGGGTTTCAGGTATTGAAAATAAAGCATGCAAAATTGTTTTCAAATAAATTACCGGATTTTCCATTTAGTGGCTCACAATCTTAAGGAATAACTGCATTCCAAGTTATTTCTTTTTTAATTTTTTAATTAAAATATTATATCATTCCTCCTCCCTCCAGCCTCTCTCCAACTGCTCTCAGATTTTACTCTTTTCTTTAGTTACATATATACATATATGCATAAATACAAACTGCTGAGTTACTTTGGTGTTGACTGCATATATATGATTTCAGGGTTGACCACTTGGTATTGGATAACCAATTAGGGAGCTCATTGCTGAGGAAGACTAAATCTTCCTCTCTTGAGTTAGTCATCACAAATTATAATATTTCTCAAGAGAAGCTGTGTCAACACACTTTTCTGGTGTGACAGAATCTCTATTAAAATGCCTTATACATTTTCAGGGCCTGATAGCTGGGCAAAGCCCCAAGAGGGCAGAGCAAAATTAAAATAAGGAGTCCATTTAGCAACATACTGACACATCACTCCTAAGGACCAAAAAAGTTATAATGCAATGGCTTCCATGATAAATAAACACCAAGAACTGAACAGCTTTCAGAATAGAAAAATCACTCCTCACAGTTCTGAGATGGAGGTGTGGCACCCCTGGAGGTCTGTATTTTTGATTTGTAGGTGGCTATTTTCTCTTCGTATCCTCAGGGATGTCCTGGTACTGTGCATGGATGTTCTAGCCTCTTACCAGGACTTTTATAAATCAGCAAGATCCCCTGCTTATTCTTGGTTGCTTTTATTAGGGTACTTAGTGTTTTCTAAACTACTACTATTTTAGCAAATCTTTTAAAATCTTATTTATTTCTCCAAGTGATTGGAATCAAATATTACATTAAGTGTAGGGGTGTGATAAGTTAACATCACGTCAGCCCGGTTTTATACATATATTGTTAACAATCGTCAAAACACACCTACAATTGGAGGCACATTTTACCCAGGTGAAAACAGACGTTCAGGTGCTTGCTTTCTAGGTTAAACAGATGGTCAAAGCCAGACTTGGACTTTCAAACAAAGATGTGTCTGATGCCAAAAATTAATACTTTGTCCAGACACCAAAAGAATTGAATCAAAAAGAAAAACAGATTGAAGAATTCTGAATGAGCAAGAGAGCAAGGGGACGGGAGACAGAAAGGCAGTCTGCCTCCACAGTACTCTGAAGAAAACAGGATCTGGCAGTCACTAACTATGGACAGTCAGTTTGGCCTTCACCCTAGGAAGAACAGCTCCAACCAGGTTACGTTCAATGTTTCTGGCAATGTTATTTAAGATGCAATTCCTGATAATATACACAACAGAATCTAGGTCAGCACACTACAGAAATACCTCATCTGCCAGGAATGGTGATGCAAGTCTTTAATATCCCAGCACTCAGGAAGATCTCTGCAAGTTAGAGGCTAGACTTGTCTACACAGCAAGTTCCAAGTCAGCCAAGGCCCACAGTCACACAAATAAATACCCTTGATGATCCATGTTTATTGTAGCACTACTTACAGCAAAGTAATAGAGTCAGTCTAGTGTCCATCAACAAATAAATCAATAAACAAAATGAAATACGTATACATAATGGGATTTGATAAAACTATCTTGTTTGGACAGTGGAGACCATCACATAAAGGGAAATAAGCCAGAATCACAAAGACAAATATTGCATATTGCATGTTTCTTTTGTATCTGGAACTCTCTCTGTGTCTGTCTGTCTGTCTGTCTG